TATATATATATAAGTAGTTTGATCTGTTTAAGGACCAAAGTCTGCTGTAGCTCTGGCATTAAATGCAATTCCTGATTCCCATGATCTGTTTTACTCTTTTTCTGGTTCTTGAACAACTGGGTCCATTTCCCATTAGGAACTTTGTACCTTTCCCTTTGCTAGAAATGTTCTTTTCTAGACTTTATATCTGACCAGGTTTGTTTCACTTGTGATTTCTAAATCCTGTCTGCTCTACTCCAGAGAACCTTGTCTTGACATTGCCGTTTGCAGTTTTCCTCCCCCATTGTTCTCTTCCATTTTATCCCTTTTTATTTTCACCATAGCATGAAATGCCATCAGAAATGCCATCCTCTTGCCAATTTGCAAACTGAGAAGGCCCAGGATCATTTTTTTTGTTCAAGCTGTATTCCCAGTACATAGAACAGTGTATGGAATGAAGTGTGCATTCAGGAAATGGTAACTAAATGAAGAGAGAATACATATTTTTTTGGTTGATAAAAATAATATAAGTTCCTTAGTTAATGGAGAGAAATCTGCTTTTTTTTTTTTTTTTTTTTTTAGCATATTAGAACAGCTAAAACAAACAGGGAGACAGGCAGTTGGAAGCAGAATTCAGTTCTGGGCTACATGTTGTCTTCTTGGGCCATTTTGAAATATATTTCTTTTTTTTTTTTTTTTTTTTTAAAGATTTATTTATTTGTACATACAGAACTGGGGTACAGGCCAGAAGCTCAGGGGCGGCGAGAGGCTTCACCAGAGACAGAGTGGGGAACAGAACAGGCAGATCAATGAAGTACACTGCTGAGGGGAGCAGCGGGCGGGTCAGGAGAGGTCTGCCACGCCATGTGGTCACCTCCAGGGCAGGCGGGAATCGAACTCATGCGGAAGCGGTTTTAGATTCTCCGTGCTGTGCTTTAACCCGCTGCGCCACCAGGGAGGGCCAGGAATATATTTCTTAATCACGGCATGTTTCTGCATCCATCCAGCCATTATGTAGACTTAATGAAGAAGGTGATTTCAAAACCCAAGTGATAATACAGAGACTCTGCTAAAACTGAGGCTAAATCTTCAATATGTTGAAATTTAAGAAAGCATTCCTGGCATTTTGTAGCATTCTTTTCATTATAGAATGCTTGTATACACCTGCTTTCTGCTTTTATATAATGTGAGAATCATAGTGCTTTATTTGTGCTGAGAATAGTCTAGTTTAAAAATGAAATAGTTGTTTCACATATCATTTTATAGTCTCTTACAAGCCCCAGAGAAGGCTTTCAGATGTCTCTAGTATGTGTAAAGAAAATTATAGAGGAAGAATAAATATATTTCAGGAGCATATTAAGAGTAATGTTTATTGTTATGGTTACTATATATGAGATATTTAAAGGCAGTTATTATGGTATATTACATTGGAGAAGAAAATACCCAGTTCAATAATGATCAAGCCATAAAAGTAGGTGACTTGTACTGTTGTGCATTTCTCTGTCCATGATGGTTAGTATTTCTGTTGTTAGGATAGGTTGAAGAAATCACCACTTTCATTGGCTCAGTTTTTGTTTTTTGCTTTTGCTTTATTATTATGATGTGTCTTGGTGTTTTTATTCTTAGTTTTGTTTTGTTTTTTTTTTTTCTATTTGAGACTTTGCTTTTTAAATCTGTCAGTTTATGCTTCTTACCAGGTTGCAGCCATTCTTCTTTTTATTTAAAAAAGATTTATTCATCCATGCATACAAGAACAGGTCAAAAGTGAAGGGGTTGAGGGTATTATTAGAGAGAGCATGGCCAGTTGACTTAAGTACACTGCTGGGGGAGCAGCTGGCTAGACAGGAGAGGTTTGCCATGCCATGTGTGTCACCTCCCTGGCCAAGATTGAATTCATTCTATAGTAGCTGTGGATAGCTTCATAGTGCTGTAATTTAACCCATTGTACCACCAGGGAGGCCCCTGGCTCAGTTTTTAATCAACTTTTTTATGACATATAAGGTCTTTAAGTATCTGGTACCGGTCGTCAGCTTTTCTTATTTTCTGAGTTATTATATGCTCTCTCCCTGACCCATAACTCCTTCTTCCCTGTCTGTTCATTGTTCTTTGTGGAGAGTGCTGAGTCTTTTAACAGCAGCTATGTAACACTTGCATAGACCTATGTGTGTGGTTATCTAGAAAAGTTTTCGCCTCAACAGTAGACTGAACTCCTGTGTGGACAGATTTAAAAATACTTAGTTCCCAGAACTTACCACCTACATTTCCTGTTTTCAGATGTGTGAATTAAAATAATCACACAGGACTAAGTTGAGGGGTTGAGCTCTATGAAAGGCTTCACCCCCAATGCTTGGAGTCCTACTTGATTCACTGTGTCTATACTCATGTCCATGAAGTTTGGGAAAATTTGAGATAAGTGCTATATGAAGCAATCATTAGAGGACAAATGGCTATGAATTATGTGATTCTTAATTATGATGACTAAATGTTATTTTCTTCCATTAACCTAAGCAAAAGACTGACTCTAATAGAAAGTCCCAGGTATTTAAGTTATGGGATTCTTTGGACCATGGTACAGGAGGGAGGTGAACACAGCTCATTCCACTAAATATAATGATTCAGTTGTGTCCCAGAGAGTGGTATTTCTCTCCCTATGAAAGACATGTAAATATACCCAAGGGAAGTGTCTGTAACTATACCATTCGTTATATTTTTGAAGTCCTACAATTAGTATATTTTGCTAGAACTTTACACATTATTTAGTTATCATATGAAAGGTTAAATTTTGCAGCCTTGCGTGAACAAATCATTTGAGAAGATAGTGAAGGGGACATGTGTTGTCAAAATGAAGGGCTGAAGCAGTTCTTTAGGGTTAAACATTAAGTCAGAGCCTTTTGTTTCCCTTTGCCAAGTTACTAGTCACTCTATTTAGCCTCAGAGTGACAACTGTTGAATTGCAGGAGTAGTAGCAGACAGGCTAACATTTGCAAAAGAAAACTAATTATCTGAAAATTTGAGATGAATCCAAAGGTTTAAGAAATATTTTTGTCTCAATTTTTTAAAATAGATGCATATTTATTTAGCATTTTAATACATGTTGTTTCCAACCAAGTAATCTATTTTCAAAACAAAGACTATTTAAGAGATTTGGCTTACTTTTTCTTGGTGAATGTGCCAAAGGTCTGTTTTCTATAAGACATGTCTGTTTCAACTTATCATTTTGATTATGAGTAGTTTATTATCCAGATAAAGATTCAAAAATAGAATATCTGCTAAAGAGCTCTTATGTGTATGGTTGAATACATATTTTTAAATGATTAGGCTTTATAAATAGCATGTAAGATAATATTGGGAGCATGGTAAGTATAGAATAGAATGCTTAAAAAAAAAAAAAAAAGGGATGGGGGAGGAGAAAAGATGCTAATACTCTCAGCATCTCCAGTAGGGGATTGGAGGGCTAGAGGCGCTCCATTGCCCCTCTGCTTGCTCTCAGAGCCAGTGAGCAGTCTTTGCATTTTTTGACCGAGGCTCTGGCAATTCCACTCTGCCCATTTAGTGTGTCCAGTCTCGCAAGTCGCTAATTTTTAAAGGTACCTCCTTGTGATTCAAACTTGCACACTTGGACTTACACCTCTTCACAGCAGGGGCGTGAACTTCCTGGGGGGCAGTATTTTATGTTGGAAATTGCTCAGAGTTTCCATCTGCTTTTACTTGACTTGTGGTCGTGACAGTCGGTCATGCTTGGCCCATGGGATGTGACAGTGCGCCGAGAGGATGTGGAGTTTTTGTCAGCCAGTGAAATATGTCTGGGTTTTTTTTTTCTCCTTTTTCAGCAGCTTTCATTCGCTCCTCATCCTGTGTGGTCTTCACTAACCTGAATTTATATTTAACAAAACTGCTCACCCTCTTTATCTTCTCTGCTGTGGCTTTACTGAACCAGGTGTGTGGAAGGAATAGCTGAGACCCAAATCTATTGCCTTGGGTGTAGAAAAGAAAATCCAGACATGAAACTTAAGATGAAAGATGTATGCACTTGATGTGCTCCACTGTGTTTTTATAATGAGAAGCATATCATGTTTCAGATATGTGCGACTATCAAGGAAAATATGCATGCCCACAGTAGACGCCGAGTGTTGTCTGTGATCCAAGTGACTGTTTTTCTGCTTGTTTTTAGGCACTACTTCAGTCTTCAGTTAAGCAACAAGTAGAAGCTATTGAAAAGCAGTACATTTCTGCAATTGAGAAACAAGCACACAAATGTGAGGAGTTGTTGAATACACAGGTAATGGAACTGCACAGCCATCACATATTTACCCTTTTCTTTCTGAGTCCCCTCCCTCGAGAGTTCTAAAACTGTTTATTCAGTTCCATGCCATTTACTTTCCTTGGTTATTTTGGAGGGAAAAATATGCTTATGTAAACCCAGTGTTAAAGTTGGGAATTTTATGATAGACTAAAAATAGGACTTGAGACCAAAAATATGTGGGTCTCCCCCACATTAATGGTAATTCTTTGGGGATATCTAGGTTATAATATTATTTATAAAATAACAGAAACACAGAGGTGAGTATAAAGCTATTATAGTATGTGAAAGGGTTTTTAGTGGCATAAGATTTATAAATAATATTTGAATCACTTCAAGTCCTAATTTCTGTTTGAGTTAACCTTTGGTTGTGTGTAGATGTTGGTTTTATTTAAATTTTCTTTTCCTGATATAATGTGTTAGAAGACATGAAAGACATAACCGGCAGTTCATATTAATCTGTTGAAGAACATTTATCCATGTAGCACAGTAGAAATAATGTATGCAAGAAGTTCATGGCAATAGTTTTGAATAGCATAAAATGTGGTAGGTGAAAATAAAATCAACTTTATATAATGGATCTATTTTATTTCACTGAAAGAAAATATGCTAAGAGGAAAATAAGATTAGGTATAGAATGTCAATGGAGACTTATATAAGTATGTCACCCCATCCCCAAGATTGGATTCAGTTAAATATATTTTCCAATGTCTCATTAATTAGTGGTTTGGGATAGATGATATATGGATTATTTCATAAATTTGATGGAACAATTATATTCTTTTGGATGGTTTAACATTAGGTTGTTAGAGTTATGAAAAATAAGATTTTGTCAACAGAAAAATCACAGAAAATTAATGTCATAGAACTGTGAAACAACATAAGCTGATATTAGTTAGGCAGGCTGGGTCATGCTCTGAAAATAACATCTACCTGGAGGATGGTCTTGGGATTTGGTCTCACATGGTGCTCACTTGAGGATTTAGCTGGATTGTGTAGTTCCTCTGCATGACTGCTGTAGGAGAGTCAGCTAACGTCTCTGTCACTCAGTATTCTGGCCTGGAAATGACTCTTCTACTCCCTATTTATTTCCACTGTGTGCCACCAAGTCACAATGGTAGTGAGATGCTACCTGATAAAAAGGAAAGAACAAGAAACATTTTATTAACAACACTAATATGCCATAGCCTGTACTTTTGGACACCACATGTTCAGAGTCTCCATTTTGACTCCTTAGAAGAAAATCTAAAAGTTTTGACCAGGTGTAGCCTCAAGTTCAGGAGTCCAAGATCTCATGCTAGTTTGTACATGTTAGGTCCAGATGTACAGTCGTTTTTGATAGAAAGCTGGATGCTGAAACCTATATTTTACTCTTAATATATTAGGCACACTGTGATAAAACAAGGCAGTGTTGGTCACTAGCTGGCAACTCAACAGAAAAGGCAAAGAAATGGAGGTGCACAGCTGTCCTGCATATACAGCAATTCTGAAATCTCACAGAGCAGATTAAGAAAAAAATTGCCTCCCCCATTGGAGGGGGTCTGCTCTTTAATTTACTGTGGCTCTCTTTAGTGATGAGGGACAGGATATCTGATGTTTGATCTTGTAGGTTTTATATATATATAATGTATGTTTATTTTTACATCATTTTGTGCATTTTTCCATCTCAGTTGCAATCCCCTTGGGCTTCCCATCACCAAAACACCCATGTGCCATCACCATAGTCCAGTGCATTTCCCTCCCTCCACTGTTTTTGATGCTATTCCCCACTCCACCCCCAGAAATTGTCCTTCGTATATAACTTCATTATTATTATTATTTTCTCGCCTGGTCCGTAATACTCCTGCCATGAGTGAAACCATTTGGTATTTTTCTTTTTCTTTCTGGCTTATTTCACGAAGAATGATCTTTTCCAGTTTCATCCCTGTTGCTGCAAAAGACATGTGTTTCTTTTTTTTTTGGTTGCTGAGTAATATTCCATTGTGTATATGTGCCACATCTTGTTAATCCAGTCATCCACTTTTGGGCATTTGGGCTGCTTTCATGTTTTTCCAATTATAAATAAAGCAGCAATAAACATGGAGGTGCAGGTATCTTTTTGAATCAGTGTTTTTGTGTTTTTTGGGTAGATACCTAGGAATGGGATTGCTGGATCTTAGGGAAGCTTCATGTTAAGCAGTTTTAGGAACTTCCAAACAGTTTTCCATAGTGGTTGTACTAGTTTTCATTCCCATCAGCAGTGCAGGAGAGTTCCTTTTTCCCCACATCCTCGCCAACATTTGTTGTTGCTAGTTGTTTGAAGATGTGCCATTCTCACTGGGGTGAGGTGATATCTCATTGTGGTTTTAATTTTGGGGGAGGGTTTGGATTATTTCTTCAATTCCCTTGCTTGTAATTGGCCTGTTTAGTTGTTCTGTTTCTTCTTTGCCTAGCTTTGGGTGGTTACAGAGTTGTAGGAATTTTTCCATTTCTACTAAGTTGTTGAACTTGTTTGCATACAGTTGTTCATAGTATTCTCTGATTATTCTTTTGATTTCTGCTGGGTCTGTTGTGATTTCTCCTCTTTCATTTATGATTCTGTTTATTTGTGCTTTCTGTTGTTTTTTCTTTGTGAGTCTGGCTAGTGGCCTGTCTATCTTGTTTATTTTTTCAAAGAACCAACTTTTGGTTTCATTGATTTTTTGGGACTGTTTTTCTATCATCCATTTCATTTATTGCTGATTTGACTTTTATTATTTCCTGTCTTCTGCTGGCTCTTGGGTTATTTTGTTGTTCTTTTTCCAGTTCTTTGAGGTGCGACATTAGGTTGTTTGAGTTAATCCTTGTTTCTTTATGTGAGCCTGTATTGCTGTATATTTTCCTCTTATAACTGCTTTTAATGTGCCCATAAGTTTTGGAGACTTGTGTCATCGTTGTCATTCTTCTCCAGGTATTTTTTTAACTTCTTCTTTGATCTCCACATTGATCTAATAGTCCTCCAGTAGTGTGGGTTTCAGTTTAGTTTGATTCCTTCATGGTCAGAGATAATAGTTGGTATGATTTCGATCTTAATAGACACCAATAGTTATAACTATTGGTATTTATCTTGTGACCCAGTATGTGATCAATCCCAGAGAATGATCCATGTGGGTTTGAGAAAAATGTGTACTCAGATTTTTTTGGATGCAGTATTCTATAGATGTCTGTTAGACCCATGTTGTCCAAGTCCTTGTTCAGAGCTTTAGTGTCTTTGCTTATTTTTTTCGTGTTGATCTGTCCATTGTGGAGAGTGGTGTTTTGAAGTCTACTATGTGTGTATTTTCTCTGATACACGTTTTCATAGATGACAGTAGTTTCCTGATATATTTTGATGCTCCTTCATTTGGTGCATATATGTTGATGATTGTTATGTCTTCTTGTTATATTGTCCCCTTAATCAGTGGCCTTCTGTGTCTCTTTTAACCTTTTTCAGTTTGAAGTCTATTTGATCTGATCTAAATATAGCTGTTCCTGCTTTCTTTATTGGTCCATTTTGCTAGTAGAACTGTTTTCCATCCTTTTATTTTCAAAAGGATGTTTTTATCTTTTGCAGTTAGATGTGTTTTCTGCAGATAGCAGGACATTGGGTTCTGTTTTTTAATCCATCCTGCAACTCTGTGTCTTTTTATTGATGAGTTTAAGCCATTTGCATTTAGAGATAATATTGATATATTGTCACCTACATTTGTGAATTTGCTCCTTTTGTCTTTTTATTCCTTGTTTTGAACTGTTATTCACTTTCTTCTTTTGGATTTGGTTTGAGGGCTTCTTGTAGCATTTTTTGGAGTGGGGGTTTAGTCATGACAAAATTGTGCAGTTTCTGTTTGTCTGAAAATATCCTTATTCTTTCTTCATAGAGGAAGGAGAGCTTTGCAGGATAGAGTATTCTTGGTTGGCATTTAATGCTATGGAGTTTGTTGAGAATGTCCCTCCACTCTCTTATTGCCCGTAGTGTTTCTTCAGAGAAGTTTGATGACGTCCGAATCAGTTTCCCTTTATAGGTCATTTGTTTCTTCCCTCTTGTCATTCCCATTATCTTTTCCTTGTCTTGTATTCTTGGTAGTTTTACTCTGATGTGTTTTGCTGTGTTTCTTCTGTCATCATGGTCGTTTGGTGTTCTTGCTTCTTGGATATCTACTTTCATCTCCTATTATCTCTGTGAATATTTTCTTGATTCCTTGGGCTTTCTCTTTACCTTCTGGGATACCTATAACTCTGATATTTCCTTTCTTAATGGTGTCAGATAGCTCTTAAAGTGTTTCTTCATTTTTTTTCCTTTTCTCTTTTTCTGTTTTATTTCTCTGGATTTCTGCATCTTTGAGGGTGCTGATTCATTCTTTCATTTCATCTATTCTGTTTTCATTGCTTTCCCCAACATTCTTTATCTCCTCTAGTGGCCTTTTCCTCTCCTGCATTTCTTCTGATCTTTTTTTATTGTCTCATTTTCTTCTGTTTGTTGATTGTTTGTCTCATATCACTTTTTGTTTTTCATTTCTTTCATTCATTTCCTTGTTTGCATTCTTCAACTCCTTGATGGCTTATCTCATATCATTTTTTTCCTTCTCATCTTTTTTTTTGTTTATCGTGATGATTCTGAATTCTCTATCTGGTAGGCTGAGTAGTTCTTCTATTTCTTAGATGGTTTCTTGTAACTGATCTTTTTGTGGTGTATGTTCCCCTGTGCACTTGCTTTAATATTTGTTTGTCTTCTTTTCCCTGTCATAAATTATCTAATAATACTTTCTACTTGTTGAGATACAGTCTTGCTATTATTGACCGACATTCTTTCTAGGTGTTCTTTCTGGGATGGCAGAGGGACTTCCAGACACTTCAGTTTTGGAGGATATTCTGAGCCTTGCTTTGTTTCAATATCTCCTGTTTTTTCCAGCCTCCACTGTGTGGAATTATGTCTGTCATCTCTGCCAGTGACAAACACGGTTCTCTTGTGTTGCTCATCTTTT